CCTGCTAAATATACGGGTGAGTAACAACCAGCCAGCCCCGCCTGCCCACACCCTCTCTGAAGGAAGATAACAGCTACTGTGGAAAGGCAAAGCCGGTATTTCTGCTGTGGAGGTTCTGGGAAGGTGCGGATTAGGGCAAGCTAGTCAGAGTTGGACGGCTACACTTGTCCAACCTGGGAGCCTAGAAGAAGGCTGGTCTCTGAAAAGCTCTGCTCCCTGCCCTAGGGTTTGAATTCAGTCTCTTCCATGTGCCTCATTCAGATATGAATGGGGGCTTATACTGGGAGTGGGGATGACCACCTACCTGTCCTACCTCTGTAGTACAGCTCCACAGGTCCTCTGTGGATACTGACTAGATGCACAGGCACCTTGCTTTCTGTCCCCTCAGAAGATGGGCAATAGCCTTCTCCTGAGCTGGAAGCTTCAGGGAGAACCTGCAAAGTGAACAAAGAGTCTAGAAGACATGCTCTTGACCCCAGAGGCAGATTATGTTCTGTGCAAAAAGCACCAGGAGACTTACACTGAAGGCTTGTGGCTTCCTCTAGTTCCTAAAGTGCCTGGGGCAGGGGAAAGGGGTCCAGTGAAAGAAGAAGAGAAGGCCACATAATGAGCCAGTGTTCTCTTTTCTCAGGTGTTTGAGGCGCTGCAGGAGCTGGTGTCTAAGGGCCAGGAGAATGGTTACCCTGTGCAGCCAAAGGCAGAGCTTCGCACAAGGAACGTTAACAAACCACATGAGCATGGTAAGACACTTCTAAGGGCAGGTATTTAGCATTCCCCCTTGCGGTTTTGTTCTCCTCCCTTCCTCTGTTCTTGTTTATGAGAAATGTTCTTGTTGCTGAGAAATGAGCATGAGGTGCTTGCCCTGCCTCTCCTCCAGCCATCAGCTGGTAGAGCAAGGAGGGGCACTGGTGTGTGCAAAGCTGCTTCTAGACAGGACAGAGGCAAGGATGACACACTTGGGCTCTCCAGAAATAGTATCAATGAAGGAGCTTTCCAAGAAGAGACTCCCCTGTCCTTCTCTTAGGTTTTAACAAGTGTAAGGTTCATTAGCCACATGAGTTTTGACCGCAGGGAAAACTGGCCTTGAGTTCACAGAAGCAAAGGCTGCAATTTTGGGCCCAGAACAGCTGTGATGTGGCAACACTGCCAGAAGTTTCTTCCAGACACATAGCCCTACCCAACGGGCTGTCCTTTCGGACTACATCTCCCTCTGGTCATGTTCCTGCCTTCCAGCAGTATTCACTGAAAATACTTCTTGAAAGTGCGCTGGGTTTATAGCGAGCATTGCTCTGGATGGTGAAGCGTAACCAGCTGGGAAGGGGGGGGTGTACAGGCTGCTGATCAGCTTTGCAAAGCTGAAAAATCTCCATTTACTAGCGAGCGCCGAGCCGGCGCTGGGCAAAGCCAGAGCAGCGGCTGCAAGCAAAGCAATCCCTTTTCAGGGGGTCAGGCTCGTGGCCGAGTGAGGAGCGGGCTCAGGTGTTTACGGAGGAGAGTGGTTTCCCTGATAACGTGTGACTGAAATAAAAAAGCCCTGATGCCCTATCTGCTCTGAAACTACAAGGGAGGGTGTTTTTGGTGCATACTGGATTGAAACACAGTTTTCCTGTGGCAAAGAATGAAAAGCAAACCTCATCTGGTGCACCTCTAGACAACGAAGCTTAAAGCAACTTCTTTGGGAAAGGCATTACAAGTTCTCTGCAAAACTTTGCCACTCCTTTCCCAACACACTTAGAAAAGTAGAATTTTTAGAAAGCTTGGTGTTGGATGAGGAATCCCATCCTGAAGTTGTACTGGGAAAATTCTTGGTCTGGAGTGCCAAGGACTACCTGTTTAAGGTCATTTGATGCCTAACCAATTAAATCAATGAGATGCAGGAGACAAAATGCCTTTTAAAATTCTGGCTTAAGTATTTGGCTGTCTTCTGCACACATCAGGGGTTTGATGGAGCCGGGCGGTGGATTTAATGGGCCTGTAAGGAGACGAAGGACGAGGCCGGTACTCCAGTACAGATAGCGGGGTTATGAGCTTCTGTGATGCCCAGGTCAAGTCTGCTGCTTCCCTTCTTCACCCACCCCAGGAGAGCAGAACCTGCTGACGCTGTTCCCCCCAGCCCAACCGGGCTCTGGGCTTCCTCCTTCTCCCCTTGACAACTCCAGCAGAAGCCACTGCTCCGGCATCGGAGTGAGACAGCATGGCATACAGGCAGCTTCTTGCTTCAACTTGTTCTCACCCACTTTTTTTTTCCCCTTTTCCTCTTTGATCTAGGTCCAGTGCCTGGGAAAGAAAGTGAGAGGACAAACAGGAGACACAGAGACATGATGCCCACCACTCCCCTGGTGCGGTGGATCCTGGCGCTCGGCTTCCTCGCCACGACAGTCGCCGTGGGCTTATTTGCCATGTGAAGAAGCAGGATCTTCACCTTCTCTTCGTGCCTTCCCTCACCCTGAACTAATCCACCTTCCCCAGTCCTTCTGAGAGAAATTCCCCCGACTGGGTACTGTGATCTTGGCTCTGCCACTAATATTAGGAGACTTTTCTCCCCAGAAATCAAAGCAAGTGTTGTACGGGGGTTCAGACAAAGTCTCTCCCGTGCTTGGTGTGAGCTCTTCTCAGAAACTAACTTTATCACCAGAAACTAAGGGTAGAAAAGGCTAAAAACAATGGCCAAGAATTGTTGCTTTACAGAGTGCCTGCAAAAATCCTCCAGGATCAGAAACGCAGCTTTGACATCTGTCTCTCCTCAGAAACCCGAAGCTCCCCAGAGCTCCGTTTGCTCATTTTTTTTACACTGCTAGATAATACTGTGATCACTTTTTCTGTGGAGCCACACAGCTCCTGTGGGTTATAGACTGTTTTATATGACACTAGTAGGTCTTTGTTAATTCTTTTTCCAATCATTTTTGTTTTTTAAAAAGCAGAAGACGGTTGTTGAAGATACAATTTCATTCTCGTCTGGTTAAATAATTTATACACATAATAAACTTCAATGTAAAGTCTTCAGGCCTGGCATTTCCTATCATTAAAGCCTTACCTGGGGAGAACGGGGATGCCTTTCTTCCTTCCAGTTTTATGTCTTTTGGAGCTGCTGCTTCCAGAGGTGTTACAACAGACGAAAGCGGGAGCTGTCATCAGAGCCAGACTCTGCTCCCACTCAGTGCTAACAATAACCTGTTACAAGCTGGGGCAGGTTCCTTCAGCTCCTACATGCTGGTCTCTATTTCTAGAAATGGCACGAAATTCTGTGCGCGTACAAAGTATCTTTAAGAGGTGAAAGCCGTACATAAGAGCTGGTTGCTGTCCTATTAAAAGCAAGAAGTGACGGGACCCTCAGCCGGTGTAAACCGGGACAGCTCTTCCCATCCGCTACCAGCCAAGGGCTCCATTACCACACTGCCTTCGTGAGAACTTCAGCATGAATTAGAAAAAGCAGAAACAAAATGCACACAAGGTTTTGGTCCTATGAGGCAGCTAAATGGGAGCCATCAAGCATGCAACTGCATGCCCTCACCTAGGCAACAAACCAACCCCACTTACTCCCAGGGCTCGGCACACACACACGGCGTTGCCAAAGGCACCCCGAACACACGGCACTGAGGGAGCTGCCCCTGCACGTGGCTTGCTTTCCCCGCTTTCTGCTGAGGCAGATCTGGAGATCTGGCTTTGTGGCCAGCCACAGGCCCTGTCTGCTTCGGAGGGTCTTCCAACACAGGAGTCACTGCGGGACAGGCTGCAGTTCAGGTATGGCACAGCAGGTACCGACAAGGCCATCATCAGGGTCCTCCCCTCTCTTTATGCCAGCAAGCCTCGGTGATCAACCTGTCTCCATGATGCTGCCCGTTCTGGCTGTGACCTTAATCCCAGGGACGCCCCTTCCTACCGATCTGTGGTAACGACCAGCACTGAACCTGCTCGAAGAGCAAGAATCAGAGGGCAGGTCCTGCTGAGAATAAGCAGTGGGAAGAGGGGCTGTCATCACAGAATGGTCGAGGTTGGAAGGGACCTCTGTGGGTCATCTAGACCAACCCTCCTGCACCTACAGCAGGCTGCACAGGACCTTGTCCAGGAATTATTCTCAGGCTCTTATCTACCCTATATCCTTTCTGAAATACCTTCTAATACCTCTCTGTTTGGACCCATTCGCCAACCCCTGGCAGCAACAATAGTTAATTCTTAAAAAAGACAGTTAGATGCTTGAAAAGCAGGGATGTGAGGCTTGATAGCTATTCAAATACAAGAACTTAATCCTTTACTCGATTTAATATTAAGTTCTACCTATTCAGTCCCTCTAACCCACCCCAACTAAATCCTTATGTTCATTCAACCACGCTGAATAACTAAACATCCCAAACATGCAAATAAATGCCCACGAGCTCAGAAACGCACTCTACCACCCTCAACCCCTCTCCGCTGCCCAAAGAGACTGTAACTGTGACATGAAAGTTAGGAAATCTGGGTTCACACTTAAGTTCTACCTATTCAGTCCCTCTAACCCACCCCAACTAAATCCTTATGTTCATTCAACCACGCTGAATAACTAAACATCCCAAACATGCAAATAAATGCCCACGAGCTCAGAAACGCACTCTACCACCCTCAACCCCTCTCCGCTGCCCAAAGAGACTGTAACTGTGACATGAAAGTTAGGAAATCTGGGTTCACACTGACATCACCCCCTCACCGGCTGGCCGGTCCCGACAGCTTCTGTTCTCATTTAGGCGGTGACAGCTTCCACCTCACCGTGCCCAGGGTAAATTGGCTCTTTTTGAAACAACTCACATTTCTTTGGGTCTGGTTTCAGCTTTGCCGCCCTAAGCTCACCGCAGCCCATTTATCAGTTCCTGCTCAGAGATTTTTCGCATGCGCCGGGGCATCGTGTCGGTTTGACAAACAGGCTGAGAGACATGCCGACCAACACCCTCCCCATTAACCTCTCCAACGTGGTAAGCCAAAAGCCGTCGCTTGAAATTGCTGCAGGCCTTGTCCTGCTGTGAAAGCAGCTTGTCCCCTGTGCTTCAGGTAGACTTCGACGTGCCAGTCCCCATTTTGAAGATCCAGGGTGAAAAACCAGGCTCTGCCTGCGGCAGCATTCACGGCGTCACCTCTCCCTGGGCACGGACAGGACGGGCTTCACCTTCAAATACAGGTGCGGCTGCGGCCCCCCTTCCCCTTCTGTGGCCTTACCCCCTCCTCTCTGCTGCTAACCTCCCTCCTGCTGGGCGCACCCCAGGTGTGTCAGCTTTTCTTTTCCCTTGGACCCTAAAGAGCTCTTTGTCAGTGTAAGAAATGTCATTGTTCCCATTTAACCCTATGGAAGAACTGAGGTCTGGTGTTCTCCCCAATTTTCAGGCAGTGGCAGAGGTAGCAACGGAGGGATCTGCACTGCCAGACTTGTGCCTAGTTCTGAAATTCGAGGTTTGTCTTCCAGTGCTTGCTGGTCTGGAGTTTTGCCTGCATCTATCAAAACCAGTGCAGCACTGTCCACGTGTGCCTTCAGAGGCTGTGAAGGTCCCTTGGCCACGCCTTTGCCTACACAGGTTGGAGAGACAACTGTGAGAGCACACGGAGGTGTATCATGCAAAGGCTGGACAGTCTTTCACCTTTCATCTCTGAATTTCATGCAACCTGGCTTGTTTATGGAGAACATTGCTTGCTATACTATTACTTCCTCTTTTAAAATAATATTTTAGATATAATAGGTGTTATCCTGCATAGAAGTTTTCCAGTTGCCTGTCTGGCTGTGTAACGCTAGTAAACAATTAGTGCTATACTTCACGTTGTCACTGCGAGCACTGGTGTCCTTGCTCTTAATGTCACGTTTCAGAGTGGGTTTGGGTGAAAGGTTTGCCCAGGTCCCCCTAGGCTTCTCTTGGCACTCTCCTGATTTTCCCTGTTTGCTTTCCAAACAGAAGACTCCCTGCAGAACCCGCCTTCTGTGCTCCCTGCTTGTCATAAGGTCACTGAGGGTGACCGCTGCTTTCTGCCCCGCTGCAGACCTTTACTGCTTACTGCCTTCCAGGGATGACCTCAAGCGGCACTACAACCTGAGTCAGTACTGGGTGGAGGTGGAGATGGAAGACTTGGCCAGCTTCGATGAAGATCTCGCCGACTACCTGTACAAGCAGCCAGCGGAGCACCTGCAGCTGGTAAGGACGGAGGGGGCTGGCAGCCTGGCGCGCTGACATCGCCGCGTTGTGAGAGCAGCCCTGATGGTACACTGCAATATACCCATAACAGCCCGGTTGTTCCCTTCGTAGCTGGAAGAAGCAGCAAAAGAAGTTGCAGATGAGGTCACCCGTCCTCGTCCTTCAGGGGAGGAAACTCTCCAAGACATCCAGGTCATGCTGCGGTCGGATGCCAACGCAGCCAACATCCGCAGCCTGAAGGTGAGGCGAATCGGCCGCCGCGCTGGGCAGCGGGTGGCAGGGCCCGTTCGTGTCTGGGTGTCATCGCAGGGAAGCCTTTGGTACTTGATCACGTAGTTCCGGACATGGATTGTAGGCTGATTTACAAGCAAGGGGTACTCTGCTACGTAAATCTGACTGCAGAGAACTGTTACGGCTGGTTCCTGCTGCGGGGACATTATTGCTGTCAGTGATGTTCTGTCTCTCTTGCATTGGAATCAGCATGGCTTAAGTCACGCAGCGTTCTTCTGCTACTGTAGAGCAAAAGAGTGACATTGTGCAGGCTTTTTTGTTCTGGTACCTTAGTCCCACAAAAGTGGGAAGTGCAGCTGAGAATGAACTGTGTATCTTTAATGTCTTTAATTTCCCATCCTTCCTCCAGCGATGGCTTTCTCACCTTCCCTTCGCCTTTTCCCTTTCAGTCTGACCAGATGTCCCACCTTGTGAAGATCCCTGGGATCGTCATAGCGGCCACCCCTGTGAGAGCCAAAGCCACCAGAATAGCCATCCAGTGCCGCAGCTGCCGTAACACCATCAGCAACATCGCGGTGCGCCCAGGCCTGGAGGGTTACGCTCTCCCCAGGAAATGCAACACGTAAGGACCGACGTGGGAACGTGTGCTGCTGGCTGGTGGGGATAAAAGGCTGCATCCCCTCCTCCTGCTGCCCCTCCATCCCATGCCTGCTGCGTGGAGTCAGCTCCCTGTCACGAGAGGCAGAAGCATCTGCACTGCTCTCTGCCTCCTCTGTGTGCCTGCTAGCACCCGTGGCTGTCAGGCTTTAACTCCATCCGTCTGCAGTCACGCTGGTCACAGAATCGCAGAATCACAGAATGGTCGGGGTTGGAAGGGACCTCTGTGGGTCATCTAGTCCAACCCCCCTGACAAAGCAGGGTCACCTACAGCAGGCTGCACAGGACCTTGTCCAGGCGGGTCTTGAATATCTCCAGAGAAGGAGACTCCACAACCTTCCTGGGCAGCCTGTTCCAGGGCTCCGTCACCCTCAGAGGGAAGAAGT